TAGGTTATTTCTATGTCAATTTAATATAACAGACCAACTTTTGGTTGTCCCGCCAATATCCAGATGGGTCAAGGGTTTCCTCCCTTCATGCCTATGACCAGCATGGTGGGATTTTTAAATAATATTTTCTAAGAAAGGACAGTAAGCCAGATGCTTTCTCCATTACAACTTGCTTGCTAAAGTAATGCAGATTTGGAAAGGGATCTTCCTTAAGAACTGGAATTGGTGAAGGGTAGCAATAGAAAACAAACCAGAACAATGGAGGCATTAAACATTCTTCTCTTGGTTGATGTTCCAGTCAACTAACTCTCCTTTCCCTGAAATATACTTTCATACATTTAAGTGGTAAAAATCTTAGGTAGAGTTGAGTCTAATGAGCAAAGAAAAAAATCTCAAAGGGAAATCTAAAATAATTTGGGAATTATAATAGAACCTGCTAAAAAATGTTAGAACATTAAATAAGCAAGGTTTCCCTTAGAGTTGACATATTTCTGGATTACTTTTACTATTTAGGGTAAACCTTATACCCCACTCCCACTGAAATGGAAGGAGATTCACTAGTATTTCACTGTGGTAGATTCCAGACTTTAGACCTTAATGTCCTACCTCATACATTCAAGGTGAGGTTATTATAAATGCTCAACTCTCAGATGTCTCAACTAGAAGTTGCTATGATTACAATCATAGTAGCTGGTAGAGAAAGGTTTATTAAGTTTGAATACAAATATTTTTTTCTTTATCATGCAGACACCATAATGTAGGGATTAACAGCACAGTTTCTAGAATCTAATTACATGCATTTCAATTTCACTCTTCTACATATCTATTATGTGAAGTAGGGTAAGTTCCGTAGCTCCTTCTTATACATAGCATGAGAATACAGTATCCACCTCAATAAAGTAGTACTAAGGATTAAATAAGATTCTGAAAATCAAGAACTTCTATAGATTTGTGAGCTATAATTATTATTGTTGCTGATGTTATTATGCCCGTGGGAAGTCACCTAATTCAATTAGAGGTAGCAGGTATTAATCTGGACATTCTTGGCTTTATGTTGTTGAAAATCAGCTCAAAATAGCTTAAGAAAAATAAATATATGAACAGAGAGGTAATTCTGTAGTCAAGGACACATTCTTTGTATACACTGGGACAAGAGTTTCAAACCCTAATACCATGAAATCCACAAGCCTAGCAGGTGTAACCCTATAGGAACTATGCATCACTGAAGTGAACCTGTTGGTTCCTGGTACCAAGAAGTCCAAGCAGCTCTATATCCTTGGGCCCTAGGATTGAACTACCCTGCATAGTTGGCTGAATATCACTGAATGTGTAAAAAATCTCTGAGGGCAGCCAGGGGATGGCCCCGATGGCTCTTCCCCTGGCCACCCAGGTTCCAGGGGTGGGGGTGGGGGGCCCGGGCCGTAGGGCAGATGATGGACAAAACTAGGGCCAAGCCAGTTGATTGATCAGTTGCCGTTTATTTCATTTTTCCCCACATGCTTACCCCAGTCTCTCTGATCCCCCCATTCTTGTCTCACACTGCCCTCATTCCCGCCTCCTCCTGTCTCTCCCGCTCATATCTCCATGCTCCATCTCGCAGCCTGGGCTCTCTCGCTCCACGTGCCTGCTCCTTTATTCTTCTTCTACATTCTTCTCTCTCTGTCCCCCTTGCTATTCTCTTCACGGTCTATCATGCTGCTCTCTCTCTCTCTCTCTCTCTCTCTCTCTCTCTCTCTCTCTCTCTCTCTCTCTCTCTCTGTCTCCAGCTCTCTTGTCTTTCCAACTCCCCTCACCATCCAACCAACTCTCTTGTTCTCTAGTTCTCTTGCCTCTCCAACTCTCCTCTCTAGTCTCTCCAACACCCTTATCTCTCTAGGCTGACACTGCATCCAATCAAGTAACCAAATCAACATAAGAAAGCACTTCCTGAGGGCCCACCAAGTTCAAAGGGAACACCACCTAGAATATTCCAAAGCCCTTCCAGACTGCTCAAGGGCAAAATACCCCTTAAGGTGTTTTTCTATTTTCCCTTGTCCAATAACTCTACCAACATCTCAATACTAGTTATTTTTGTATGGTCACAGTAAGAGATAACATTGAGGCTTGTAGGGCAGCTCTCCTGGTCACAGTAAGAGATAACATTGAGGCTTGTAGGGCAGCTCTCAGACTACAGCACTCAGGCCAGATTAATCATTCCTAACCCTAGCAGGGTCCAAATCTAGTTATTACTTTTTGGATCATGACAGCATTTGTCCATGACCAAGCTCTTAACTTATACTTAAGCATTATGGCGCTTTGCTTACCACTTGCCCTGGTTCCATCCAGTCCCTCATCAGGGGACTGCTTTTGGGGGTGTTAGGAAGTAAAAGCAGCTGAGGCTTAGGTGAGAGAACAGATGCCCAAGAGGAAAATATCACTGAGAGTCACATTACAAAAGCATGTCTTCTTGTGTCCATACAAAAAGGACATTGCTCCGAATAAACTAATCAAAGAACTTAGGGAGAAGAGAGAAACAATATTTACAAGTCAACAGAGCACAAAGAAAGAAGTTACAAATAAACACAGAGGAATGGGAGCACTGTGATGGTAGAACCAAATAAACCTAAACTACCTGAAGTTATGCAGGAAGGACAAAAACATTGTTATCCTACAGGAATGGCATCCCAATCCCCTCACTACTGCTTAGGAGTCCCTTATCACCACCGCAAAGAAAAAGAGATAAATATGCATGCCATATCACACAACAAATGCAGTCAAAATGATGGACTTTTGTAGGCTCAGATATTTCAAATGATGTCAGCTGAACAATTGATGTCTCATATTTTGTTTTCCTTTTATATCAACATTCTCCTCAAGCAGGTTTTCTGCATGTGGTAGCAAATGCATAGCTTGAGAACTACCTCATTCTTACATATCTTCCTCAGTAAATCAAAAGGAGTATCATAGACCCGGGTTATATTCCATGATGAAATTGATAATGGTAATAAAGTCTTCACATTGGGCATGCCCAGGTCACCCAATTCTCATGTAATTAAGAGGAATACTGAGACCCATTCCCTGAACATTTATGCTACCTTAGAGAAAAAATTATGATCTGGAGAGACCCACTGTTCAACCCATTATTGAACTGGGGCTGTTTCTCAGAGAAGATATGAAGAAACTATACCATGTTTAGTGACTTTTTAAACCATTTTCCACCCAAGTAAAACTACAGAGACCCAAGATTAATGCTCAAAATATTGAATAAATGGGTAAGAGATATGTTCTAGTATCATGCTAAGCGAAATGAGTCAGAAAGAGAGGGATAGATATAGAAAGATTGCATTAATCTGGGGAATATAAAGTAACAAAATACGATATTAATGCCCAAGAATAGCTTAGATCAGCACCAGGAGGATTACTCCATAGCTTAGAGGCCAGCCGGGAATTCTAGGGGAAAGGGTAGCTCAGATAGAGAAGGGAGCACCAAATTAAGGGTGTTTGGAGGATCCTCCCAGGAGGTGAGATGCATGTTGAAAGTAGGCTATGGACTGAACATGTTTGCCACTCAAAGCCTCTTTTGCAGACCACAACACCCAAAAGGGGAGAGGGAACACAAGGGATTGCCCTGCCACAGAGGCAGGGTGGGATGGGAGGGATGGGGGTGGGAGGGATATTATCCATGGTGGTGGAAAATGGGCTCTGGTGGAGGGATGGGTATTTGATCATTGTATAATCTAAACCCAAGCACAAAAAATTGTAAATCTACAACTGTACCTCATGGTGTTTCACTAATAATAATAAAAAAAAGAGATATATGTTCTAATCAGTTTCAATAATACTTGACCAATCAGAATGGAGATCAGCTGTAGCAGCACATTCCTTCTGAATAATCACTACCTTGTATATGATGCAAACACTATGATTTGTGATTTCTTGGGGACCTAAGATTTCAATTTTGGTTGATTTTTCATACAGAGCAAATACTCTCTATTGTGAACTGTAATCACCTGATCACAGTCATGACTGATTAGACAGATGTCTCCAAAACTTGTTCTGCTATGTAATTCCTTGTATCATCTAACGGATGTAACTGTGTAACTGCCTGCCACATGAGGACACACATTTTAGACACAAGATAAGCTTTTCAGCTTCAGTAATCTTGATATGAACACATTGCTTGACATTTTATTTATGACAATATTTTTATCTTTTTTTTCTGGTGAAGAAAGTAATCCATATTGCCATTTTCCTCTATAATTCTATTACAGCAAATGCCTGGGATAAAAAAAAGTCTTCAGGTCAGCTAGATCAATTTTTGTCCACATATATTCTGATTCAAGTTTGATACAGCATTCTTTGATTAGATATTCTGATGAGGAGTAACTTAAGACCAATTCAGCTCGACCTACCAACAATCACTATGTTGTATTGGTTCACATTTCCTTTTTCCATCCCTTTTCTCCTGAGTTAATGTTTGACTGTCTGTTTGTTTATTTTGGGGTGGCATAGCTGGCTGTGCTCAGGGGTTACTCTTTGGTCTACAATCTGGGATCACTCCTGGTGACTTGTGGAACCATACGGAGTGCTGATGATTGAACCCTGGTAGGCCTAGTGCAAGGTAAATGCCCTCCCTGCCGTACAAATCAGCCCAGCTCCATGATTTAGTGTTTTAAAAATATTTAGCATAGTAATAGTCCATATACAATTGAACCTAGTAAATGATAGTTCATCTCTTTTGCTCTTCTTAGCTATCGGCTATCCCCAACCTCTTTGCTACATCCTAGCCTGCCTACAGTACCTATCAGCACTCATCTCTTGATTCTTAAATGCCCAGTGAAGTTCCTGGTCATTAAGGCCATGCCTGCTTACCAGGAGATGTTTTCCTACCCTACTTTAAACACCTCTCTTCTAATGATGCAGTTCATTCGGCAGAAAGACTTAGAAACACTTGCCAGATCAATCTGACTTTTGTTTCCCTTTTCCTGGTGAAACTGGATTTCATGCTTGTCTTCTTTCAGGGTTGCAGAAGGTACGACAACTTGCAAAAAACACAAGATACTTCAGACAGAGACTGAATGAGATGGGATTCATTATCTATGGCAATGAGGAATCTCCTGTTGTTCCTCTACTCCTTTACATGCCTGCTAAAGTAGCGTAAGTATCCAAACACTTGTATCACTTGTCATCTTGTTGCTCATTGATCTGCTCGAGCAGGCTCCATTGTCTCCATCATCCCTGTCACATGCTAGTTTAACCCAATGGCATCTGCTCGCTCCAGAAACATGAGGAGCCTCATACTGGGGAATGAGGCTCATTTTTGTTATTGTTTTTGGCATATCAAATACGCCACAGGTAGCTTGCCAGGCTCTGGCCATGCAGGTGGCATGTTGGTTCACTCTTCACTGGTTGGCACCGTTGCCACCCCCTCACCATGATGAGGTAGTGAACCATCAAGGGGGAAGTATCCAATAGAATCATTTAATGTCTAAAGATAATATGACTAAAATGATGCTTTTGTTTTTAAGAAGCTCCATAAGCATTAGCAATTAAATTACGCACTTTGAATAGTGTGCCAAGTTCAGGATTCACTTGTCAGGTTCTTAGAAGCCACTTATCAATCTATGAGTTAAGCATCTTTACAGGCATTGTATGAAGGGATCCAGAGGATTTTAAACTTCATGAGTTGAAGATACTTCCTTTTAAATTAAGAATGATCCCACTTCTGAAGCATTACGTGTGAAACCCTATCTGCAACATGACTGCAAACCACAGTACAAAAACTTATTTTAAAAAATAAAAGCACCTCTTGTAGAACCAATCTCATGGGTGGGATGCAAATGGGGATGGTGGAGGGTGGAGGGGAGAGTAATGGTACAGGGAGGTGGACACTGGTGAGGAGATCAGTAACGAAACATTCTATTCCTAAAACCAACTCATGAGTTGTTTTGTAATTTCAGTGACTACATTTAAAAAAATCTGACAAAATGGAAAAAAAAGGTGGGGGGGGGGGGTCTGGGAGTCATGATGTCACATCTCCTAACCAAAAAACTATCTTCCCCTCAATTTAATTTTTCTTTCAGACCCAGGAGATACCACAGTGGGCAGGGTGCTTGACTTTTTATATATAGATAACCTGGGCTTGGTCCCCGACACTACGTTTATTCCCCTGAATTCCTCAGGAGTGATCCTGAGCACAGAGCGAGGAGTAAACCCTGGGCACCACCAGGTGTGACCCAACAAAGAAAAAATTTTATTCTCTATGCCTTTTGCCCATTAAATACCCATGGACATCCTTGGGAAAAGGAATATTTGTTTCAGCATGCAGGAATAGCTGAGACAAAGAACAGTTAAATAATCAGTCAGAGTCTTACAAGTCAAATAGTAAAAGAGGCAAACTCAAACCTGCCATTGCTTTTAAGTTTCCAAATCTTTGCACCAAACTTTAATGCCTCTCCTATAAGCCCATATGAGATTATTTTCCATGACTACAATTTTGAATTATGTGTTAACATCAAGCATTAGTAACAAATTCATTAAGTGGGGAGAAATGACTTTTTCTTAGTATGGCAGACAGTTTTACATATGTTATTCTTCAACCTGCTGGAGACTAACATTATTATTCAGAAGTTAATTAAAATCCTATGTAAATGTAAAATATTTATTTGTGTCCCTGTAAAAATGCAACACAACACACCACTTATATTTAGAAGATTTTATAATTCTACTCTTTCTATTTATATAGCCACATTGTTGGAGCTTTCTGTTGCTGATCTGATTAAGTTAGGAGAATATTCAAAATATAGAAAATAAGTTTTAGGATTATTAGTTGAGAATATATGGTGGCTGGAGCGATAGCACAGCAGTAGGGCATTTGCCTTACAAGCGGCCAACATGGCCGACCCGAGTTCGATTCCTCCGCCCCTCTTGGAGAGCCCGACAAGCTACCGAGAGTGTTCGATATGCCAAACACAGTAACAACAAAGTCTCCAATGGAGACGTTACTGGGCCCGCTTGAGCAAATCGACGATCAACGGGAGGGCCTTTACCTTTTACCTTATATGGTGGGTGAACCAAGTTACAAGTTCCTAAATTATTGATTCTCCATAAAATACTCTTTTGTCTTTTCACCACAGCAAATCAATAAGCATTTAGCTACATATGTGAGTTTTTTTAATATTTTAATTGATTTTTCTTTACCAATTTTATTGAGGTACCACAATTTACAATACTGTTAATTCTACTTTTCATGTATACATCATTCCAACACCACCACCACTACTAGAGTGTCCACTTCCTCTCACCACTCACATGAGATTGTAGTGTGCGTGCCACTAAGGTAAAAAATAAACACCCAGACAAATAGTAGTTACATATTCATCTGTCCTCTATGTCAGTTATGTTATCAGATTATGTATGTTATGTCAGACTGTCTAGTATCTTCAATTTAATGCTTTAGAAGTTGATAACATTGATGAAGGGTGATCATTGCTCAGTAAAACTCTTTGATTTCATTGATCACCCATTAAGAATAAAAGGCTTAGCTCTAGTTTGAAAATGAGGACTACTCCCAAAGAATCACAGATTCTAGGTAAGAGGCTAGAATTCAAAGCATATACCATTTACTTTCTAAATCATATGCTTTTCAATGACAACACTGCCCCATAAACTTTAATACAAAGAGAAAATGATATTTGATTAAGGCAACATAGACTGTAAGTTTAATTTTCTTTAAATGTCCTTTTCAGTGAATCAAAGCATTAATCATTACAATGTAAAAATAATAATCTAATTGCTTATGCTGTTTAAGATTACTTAGAACAGATTAGTTTAAAAAAAAGCAGTTTCATTTATTATTGTTAACAGTTGCTGACATTAGCTTAACCTCCTGACTGCCCCATTTTTCCTTCTCTGATATTTCTTCAATGGAAAGCTTATATGCAAGAAGCTTTTGAAACAGGGAGCTAATTGTATAAGCCATGTGGAAGAACATTTTCATTTGCTCAGTTAAAAACCTTTGATTTTATTAAGGAACTATGATTTCTCCACATTTCCTCCTGCCACAGAACAAAAATATTATTTCTACTCAGTTATCCTTTTGAACAAAATTCTGTTGCAACTCTATCCTTGGAATCTTTTATGAATCTATGAAGTTCAATATAGTATGATTTCATCCATAAAATATTTACTTAAATACTCAAGAAAGTATTGTGTCCACTGTTTGGTTGAGGGTTTGCATTTCTCTCTTGGAATATACTGGTACTCAAAATGGGATGATGCTACATACAATACAGTGCTAAAGTTGATGTTTTATTACTATTACTATCGCTATTATTATTCATACATTTAATTTTTTAGCCTATGACCAGCTTTAATTACTTTGGGAGGTTGAAACACAAAGATTCAATATATTAAATAGCCAGGGCAATCACATACATTAACTTGAACAAGTAAAACTTAGTAGCCAAAGTTTGAAACTGATATGTGTCCCAAGGAGGCCTCAGATAAGCCAAATTAATCAACAGTCATAAATTTTATTCTTTGGTTAAAACATGCTTCCTTTAAAACAAAGAGAAGCATTCAGACAGTGAAAATGGCCTTTGGGGAGTCCCAAAAACTGGCCGGAGATCATGGATAAGGTGGTCTATACTCAAGTAATAAAAGCACTTGACTTGTTTCTCAGACAATAATGAACTCTCATCCTGTAGTTCTGTAGGCAGCCTTCCATACTGTGATCAAGACAGAAAAAGAACAGTCTCCATCTTCAAGATTTCTCAGTTAGAAAGCTTTGTCTCCTTCCTATTCAAATGAAAAGGCAAATTTTGATTTGAGTCAGATCCCCAAGCCAGAGCTGTGTTTTCAGTTGGTCTTGGATTCCCAAACTCTTCATGTGATAACCTACATTCTGGGTGAGGCAACCCAAAGGCAGACAGCATTGTAATCCTTTATCTGAAAATGGTATTATGTTACAAACCAGTGTTACCTCAATAAAAAAATATTTTTTAAGGATAGCTATATTACAAAATGAACAAGCAAACTTATTTCCATCCAGGTCAAGACTTCTTCCTGAGTTATGACTGGAAGATTTCTGTGATACTGTCAACTGCTAGCCTAAAATAATTCACCATCAATCTCCAAATGCTAAGAACATATCTGAGACTTTTACCTTATCTGTGGTCAAAGCCCCCATGATAATTAAGGTTTTACAGAAAACAATGGAGCATAAAGGAGAAAAGATTCACTTGGGGAAGAGACCATTTTGTCAGGCATTGATTCTTGGCACACACACACACACACACACACACACACACACACACACACACACACTGTAGCACTGTAGCACAAACTTTTGATATTCTAGAATTTTTACTGAGATTTGCAGTGGAAAAGAAAGGGGTTAGACATGGTTAAGGGTAAGAGGTAATAATTTTCAAGGTCTTCCCTTCATCAAAGAACTTTGTTGTTACATGATATATCCTATAGACTGTGTCTCCTTGCCAGTTTCCCTGTGTGAACACATTTCTTTCCCTACCCTTCTCTGCCTTATTCCCCTTTAGCCCAGCCAATGAGTTTTTGAACCCTAAATTTATAGGCCTGTTCATTTATACATAAAAAATAAAGATATTCTTGCTATGCTCTATTCCTAGTTTGAAGGGAAATAATATATTTGGCCCTGTAGAGGGTATATGGCTTGGAGTTAGGGCCTAAAAATCCTTGGATTCCTCAAGTTACAGGCAGTAAATATAAAACTTCTTAAAATGTCCATTTCATAATATACTTTTTTAACATATAGGTTTGTATATGCTATATTTTATTTCTTTGTGTAATTATACTGTGTTAGTTTTTTGGGTTTTTTTCCTAGACACCCTAAAGGCACAAAAGTTTTACAGTGAAGTAAAACTTTTCAGTGAAGACTTTCTAGGCTAGATTACATCACCATTTTCTGCTCAATGCCAAAGAAAGACTCACTACTCATAATTGTCAATTAAGTGTGTCAGGTTGTATATTACACATATTCTGTATGGATACTATAGTGACAAAATAACCTCAATTATCTGTCAAATAGATTTGATAGAAATTTCTTTAAATCATCTATTTATTGTTAAAGAAAAGTTGATTAGCTATATATTCTTTTTATAATTCATAAATTTATTAACTTTTATTGATTAAGCAGCATTTACAGTAAAATAAACTAAAAGACGATGATTTGATATACTTCACGAGCCTTATAATTTATACACATCCAAAAGTTAAATAATCTATGCTACTGCGCAGATTTCAAATCTTTTCATAAGATATAATATTACATTTTTATCTGCAAAAGATTTGAGGATCATTGCAGAATTTTTTGTTTAAAACTGTGTTTCAGATATGATTAATTTTGGAAAACTTCCTGAAAATAGCATGGCTGTGTCAATGGATGCTGTTATTATATTTTATATTATTGTTCTGTTTGTGACATAATTTGCTCACTCTTAAGTTGTGCTTTCTTACTTTCCTTAGGGCTTTTGCAAGGCATCTATTACATAAAAAAATTGGGGTGGTGGTCGTTGGATTTCCAGCCACTCCACTTGCAGAAGCTCGGGCTCGGTTCTGTGTATCAGCTGCACATACGCGGGAAATGCTAGACACGGTGAGTAACAGATCCTCTAGGACTAGTAACCCTGAGTTTGAGAAATTTCTTTTATTGAGCTGAGTGGTAACTTTTCAGTTTCTCTTGGGTAGTTGAGGAAAACAACATTAAAAAAATTCAATGCTAAAAAATAAGGCCATGCCCAATAATACCCAACTATGTGACCATTCCAATAGGTACAAAGAAAATCAGTTAGTGAGGGCTTGCTTCAAGTCAATATTTTGGTTCTTTAGAAAAGACTGAGTATTATAGGCAGACTAAATATTCTGCCTATATCCTGACAGTTTTCACTGCCACCAATCAAGTAAATAAATAAAGTATTTTGCTGGGGAAATAATAAAGGGGCAGGAGATACAGTACAGGGCCTAAGGCTGGCACTGCTTACTTCAGTTAGATCCCCAGCTTTCTATATGGTACACCAAGTACTGCCAGGCATGATTCCTGAGAACAGAGCGAGAAGTAAGCCTTAAGTACAGCCAGGTGGGAACCCAAAATCAGACAAAACAAAAAATAGGGGGCTGGAGCAATAGTACAGTGGGTAGGGCATTTGCCTTGCACGCTGCCGACCCAGGTTCAATTCCCAGCATCCCATATGGTCCCATGAGCGCTGCCAGGAATAATTCCTGAGTGCAGAGCCAGGAGGAACTCCTAAGCATCTCTAGGTGTGACCTAAAAATTAAAAAAAAAAACAGACAAAACAAAAAATAAAGACAAACCTATCAAAACAACCAGACCTACATGAGGCATATATTATTTTAAAAACTCACATTTCACCGTTCCTTGACTCGGCTCTCTAATATCAGCATAAAAATAAATTAAAATCAGTTTGGGATTAATGAAACGTTCATAATATCACAGTGCTTTAAAAAATACTATTAATACCTATGTTCAAAACACTGGAGCAAAGGATCTAGGAGGAAAAACTAATAAAAATGTTCTTCTAAATAGATTCATATTTGAAAATGAAGATAGCCTAGTGAAAGAGCATGAAAGTAGGAACAATTTATATATAAAAATTATACGTGATATCTTTCATCATATTCATTATAACTTATATAAAAATATGGGAATTAGTTACTACATATAAATATATTAGTTCTTTTACATGTATATAAAATAATCATAGTCACTGGAGAGGTGACTTGAGACAGATTTTTTAATATAATTGATTTTTAGCTATGGGACCAACCCCGTACGGCTCAAGGCTTATTCCTAGCTCAGCAATGAGGGATCACCTCTGGCAGATTTGGGGGTACCATATAAAGTGCTGGGGATCAAATGTGACTTGGCTGTGTGAAAGCCAAGTACCCTACCTGCTATAATATCTCTCCAACCCCAAAATAGGCTTTCATTAATTTAATTTTCTCTTTTACATTGGTGCTTGGGGGGACCATATATGGTGCTGGGACTGAACTGGGGTTGGTACATGCAAGGCAGGAATCTTCTTACCCCTGTCCTATCTCGCCGTCCTCTAAAGGGGAAACAGTAAGGACTTATCCCAAGTCTGTGCTGAAAGATCACTCTTAGTGGTGTTTGAGAGACAATATACACTGTCAGGGTCTGTTTAAGATCATCTGACTCCACTTCTGGTCAAAAGGAACACTTTAATCTTCCCTTTTCTCTATGAAATATTTACTTTTTACTACGTTTAACATCACATTAATTAAAGTCTTTTCTGACAACTACCTTCACTAATTGAGTTCTTCACCTATGACTTTCATATACCCTGGGATTTAAACACTTTTTAGAAGTCTTGTTTTTGTATATTCACTTGAATTTGAACAATTATATATTCTACTACTGGTGTTTTTAATCCCTCAGTTCTGCAAATAAAGGAAGCTTTAGCTTTGCACATTCTCTTCCACTTTAGAATTTTATTTTCTCTATCATATTTGATCCATATCATGAGCTCCCAACATGTCTAAAACAAAGTTTATTTTGGTCCCTCATTCCTCTTGAGTATTTGCTATTCCTCCTTTTAGAATAGGTTAAAAAAAAAAAGAGTCATCCAGTTACTTCACCCTATCACCACCAAAGCATTCAAGCCTGTGTATGCCAAAACATCAGTACTATTACAATATAATAAGCTAAACCATAATAATTAGTTTAGCACTACTATTGAGGTCTAGGGATTTACAGTACTGTTAATTATGCTTTCCATGCATACTTTGTTCCAGTACTGTATCCACCATCAGAGAGCCCACTTCTACAATGTCCCAAATACCCCTTGAAACCCCACCTCCTATGTAAGTTCAGTTCTATAGACAAAATCTTAAGTTCCTATGACTTTGATAATTTTTGTTCCCTTACTATATTTTTATTGAAAATATGAGATCTTTTCTTTTTTTATATTGTGGAGGTGATGACAACTATACACATATAAATGACAGAACTAAATTCCTGAAATTACACAGAATTGCTAATTAATGAGAAATTTTTCTTGAAAATTTTTTGTCATTTATATAAGTATATAAGAATTTAAAAACCAGTATTATAAATTATCCTGTGCAAATACATTTTAATATATACATGAATGATAAATCTTACAAATTGAAATTTTATTAAGGAAGAGGAAATTAAGAAAATTTTAAGGGGAAATCTGAATAGACTATAAAATATGTTTTATTCTAAGAAAGGTAATATTGAATTTATGTTAGAAAATATTGTATATAATGCTTAAGTATATGCATTAATAAGTAAACAATCATGATAAAAAGTTCTATGAATGTTAAAAACAGCACCTGATAAGACATAGAACATTCAACATAAACGAGAAGTTAATTTGTTATTGTAAACATATAAAATCTTTTAGTTACCCAGGAATATATCTTACCCAAAACCAAATGGTGAGTTTTGTCTTTTAAAGAAGCTCCTTTAACCCTTGCAAGATTGGGTTTAATGCTGTGGATTCCTCAACTGTTGCTGTCCCTGAAGCTCTGCAAATCTGAATGATAATCTACTAAGAGTACCATTCACCTGTTACTTGTAGAGTCTCATGTGATAGATGTGCTGTGAATCTTATGGGCTTTCCTTTATATAAATTCCTTTTTTGATCAAAATCTTTTGATCTTTTCAACATCCTGTGTTCTGTCTCTGGTTTTAGTCAGTCTGAAACAATGTGTCTTGGAGTTTTTCCTTTTTTTTTTCTTTTTTGGGCCACACCTGTTGGTGCTCAGGTCTTACTCTTGGCCCTATGCTCAGGGATCAATCCTGGCAGGCTCCAAAGACCATATGGAATGTCAGGGACTGAACCCAGATCAGGGGCATGCAAGACAAGTGCCTTACACACTGTACTATCTCTCTGGCTACTGTCTTGGAGATTTTCATATTGAATCTATTTGCATCATGACCCTTTAGGACTCTTGGTTCTGGGTACCTGTATCCCTCAATTCTGTGAAATTCGGCCGTGTGCAAGGCAAACACCCTACCCGCTGTGCTATCACTCCAGCCCCATAAATACATTTCTTAAGACAGAGTGGTAGAAGATTGTGAGCACTTTGATGATACAATAAATTTGTACATTGAGGCTGAATACATTGAAAGTAATATAATAAGGAACACATTTTGGGTGGCCTGGGATATCCCACACAATAGAGTCTGAGTAGTACCGAGTGCTCTGCCCTTGCTTTGAACTGCTGGCTCAATTGGCCAAATTCCCTAAGAGTCACCCCAAGTTTCCTGACCACTGTTTGAGAGAGTCACATGTAGGTACACACACACTCCCCACAGGAAGAAAAGGAAGGAAGGAAGGAAGGAAGGAAGGAAGGAAGGAAGGAAGGAAGGAAGGAAGGAAGGGAGGGAGGGAGGGAGGGAGGGAGGGAGGGAGGGAGGGAGATGGAAGGAAGGAAAGAGAAAGAGGAAGGAAGGAAAGAGAAGGAAGGAAGAAGTATTTAAAGATCACTGATTGAAGATAATCTCTTTGCAGGTTTTGCAAGCCCTTGATGAAATGGGTGAACTTCTGCAACTGAAATACTCCCGGCACAGGAAGTCAGCACGCCCTGAACTCTATGATGAGACAAATGTTGATCTTGATGATTAAGTTTACTGGTTCTGAATGGAACTTAAAAACTTTGCCAGAAAGACCTCCCTCCATGCCTCAAAAGGAATATAAACGAATGTCTTCCCCTTTCTAAGGAAAGTTTCAAACCAGTTAATTGAACTGAGACAAACATCGTTGTATTGTTAATGTCTCCAATTTGGAACAGAAGACAAAAAAAAAATGTGACTCCGGATTTTAAGTTTCTCCCTCCCCAGTTATACTGCTAGACACACACACACACACACACACACACACACACACACGCACACGCACACGCACACGCACATGCACACGCACACACACGCGGACACACGCGAACACACACACGGACACACACAGAGTTTCAGAACATTTTTCATGGCAATGAGCCTTGTTTTCACTGCTACTGTGTAACCTCTTTTATCCAGACCCATTAAGGTAGTACAACCAAATGAAAGGACTTTAATTTTTTAATTTGGTTGATCTCATGTGCTTACTTATTTCATGGACAATTGAAAAATAAGCAAACAGTAAAATATTTAAGTGAACAATAGCTGACTTTCTGGTTCAACATATGAATGTTCCAGCAAGAACTCTTCTGTATTGTGGGAAGTTCCAGACAGGAGGGTGAAAATAATGTTGCTTTTACCATTTGCCACATTTGGACTTTTTCCAAGGACAAGTGTCAAAAGACATAGTTAATATTTGAAGGGAGAGAGCAGCACTGCAGCAGTGATTGCAGACATCTTGGAAGAAAACTTTTCTTTTCCTCTTGTGGGTCTCCTAAAGTTTTACAATTGTGCTTTTGAGGCTTGGAGAAGATTTTCATTTCATAAAGAAGGGAGCAGAAAGCAAGAATATGATTTTAGGCCTAGACTAAAACAAATTATAACAACTCAAATATCGTTGGTACCATAAGGAATCTGGAGTTGTCATTTTCCTATTGAATTTTGAGTAACTGAAGAAATTCAATTTTCCTTAAAGTTGACTCCCAAGACTACACTTGAATAATATATTCATGAAGTGCTCTTTAACATTAAACGTATATTGTGTTAAACTTCCTCAAGACTGACATCTATTGAAGATCATTTAATTGTGCTATCAAGCAAATTTATTCCATTTGGTGGAATGTATTTGCATACCAAATTCTTTTGCTACATGTAATTTGAATTCTCTGTATCTTTCTCTCTGTCTCTGTCTCTGTCTTTCTTTCTCTGTCTCTCTGTCTCTCTCTTTCCCTGTTTCTCTCTCTCTTTCTCTTTCTCTCTCTCTCTCTCTCTCTCTCTCTCTCTCTCTCTCTCTCTCTCTCTTAATGTGAACACAAAATTCTCTGCAAAAATTATCCCTTTGCTAATTGAATCTAGTTTGGGATGGGAAAAAAAAAACACTGGAAAGCCTTATCTTTAACAAGCTCCCAGATGGTGTCCAGATTTGGAAACTAAAGAGCAGTGGTGACCTTTTAGCAAAGCTTCTGTAATAGTTTGAATGAGTTACAGAACATTCCACTCCATCAAATGACACTATAAACAAATCACTTCAAGAGAGGTTTGACTTGGTGTGGCACAGATGGATCCAAGCTTTTCATGCTGTGTGCACTAAGATAGAAACACAATCCATAGCACCAATATTGATGGAGCATTTCACTGCTACTCAAAGCTTACTAAATAAAGTCGTGATGAACATGGAAATCTTTTTATGAGTAAATTATAAACCTAGTAAATATAGCAGTTTAAAGCTGAATCAAAATGATAAGGAGTATTATTATTATAAGAAAGGACTTTTATTCTGAAAATGTGGTTGTCCCATCCTATAACTGATGTTGATGACAAAATCCCACTTCTTAATGATCTGCTGCACCACTTTATCTCTGCAAAGAATATAAACTGATATATAACAAAGAAAGACATGTCTTTCATTTTGAAAAATGTGAATCCAAATATCTTTTATCCTATAAAAGAATAAGGAGGCAAAAGGACATTAGAATGTCTGGGAATTCAATATACGACAACCAGCAATAAACATTCCCCCTCTATTTTGGATGACTTTTTTCTTCACACACACACACACACACACACACACACACACACACACACATACACACACACTCACATGCCTTCACATTCTTCCTTTGCATTAAAAACCTTTGGAGGGATGCCTTTGTAAGCAGGAATAGCTACCATTATTTACTTTTATGGAAAGCTTCAGTTTAACTCATAATTGAATGTAATTACTTACCTACCCAGATTAAAAGACAGGGAAGGGTTTATTCCGTCATCATCAAATTTAGAGTCTAGAATACAATATAAGTTATCTGTCTCTTCGATTATCTTGATCAAGTGCACATCTGTGAAATAAGACTATACCTCAAAAGGAATGCCTCCTGAGCACATTAGGATGAACCCAGAGACCCAGGGCTTCTCATATAAAAGTGTGCATCATGCAGAATGAAATTTACTAAGATGATTGAAAATAACGAGATTTTTATAGGAGAAAGTTTTCTACAAAGTTAATTAGACCATGATTTCAAATCAATGGGGATTAGTGACTCTCAATAGTATTATTAGAGCCAAATGTATCTTTGACTGGGTCCATTGGGAAAGGGAATTTTATAACAGAGCCATTAAATTATGTACAACAAATGCTCCATTTATATCCCATACATTCATGTAAACCTATGCACATATATACATACATACTCTTCATTCCCCTTACATAAAAAATAAAATATAAATGCAGAAAGATGACAATGTAGTTGGTTTATAGGTAGATGAAAGATGTTATTCTGCAAATGACCTCCAAGGAAGAAAAAGAATAAAAGACTAATATTTGTAAGAAGGACATAATTACATAATTATAAAATAATGCAGGCACACTTCTAAACATTTAATGGAGTTAGAGTGCCATGAATGTTTGACTATATTGGATTTTTAGCATGTTAACAAAAGGCCATAAATTTAAGGTTTTATTGAAATCAGTCCCTAGGTCTCACATCAGAAGCTCATCAAATCATAATAACTAAAGGGTGCAAGAGAGAGATATTTAATTTTATCTAGTCTTCCCCAGGGAATTCTAATACAACCCAAAATTTGGGATCAATATTAGAGCTTTTTGCTGTTTGAGGATTTTTTTTCTGGCAAATCTGTTGGCTCTAATTACATAATAGAAACGTTCTTCCAATTCTCTGTTCATAGGGTGTTTACAATATTACTGTAGCACTGTAGCATTGTCTTCCCATTGTTCATCGATTTGCTCCAACAAACAATAACTTCTCCATTGTGAGACTTTTTGTTATTGTTTTTGGCATATCGAATACGCCATGGGGAGCTTGACAGGCTCTGCCATGCAGTACTGGTAGCTCACCGTGATTGTATAGCAGTTAAAATATTACTAGGACATTATTCAAAAGTTTTCTTCTCAAAAGGAAATTTTGTTCCCATTTTCCAGGTAAATTCTCTTTCAACAAGATAGGTTTAATATTGAATAATAATCTTCCCTTCTTTCGGATTTTTTTCTTCTCTAGCCTGCCTATGTATAAATTCCTTTGAGATATTTCTATTCTTTTATTGTCTATTTCTCTGGTATTTTGATTTTTTCTTCATATTTCTTCCATAAATCTTCACGTTTTCATTATTTATTCTAATAATAACTGTTGATTAGAGTAAACTGCAATAATTGTTCAAACAAAATATTCCTATTTTTAGCCAAAAGCATAAAATATAAATGTTTTGTTCCATCATAAAAATTAATTCCTAATGATGAAATTCTTCTCTTCTTTCAAATGCCTAATTTTGTTTATTATTAACAGTGCTCTGAATTTATCTGGTTATTTATTGTCAATTTTTCCTTGTCTTAGTAAGAACAACATATTTGAAGTCTGTTTCTCAGACTTTCCTATTCAGCTGTGTAATGTTTAGGAAATCAAATTAAAAGGAGACCATATTTTAAATATTTATAGGTAATTATTGTGGTATATGTTTCTGGTGTTCTCTGTAGTGGTAGAGTGTGTGTGTGTGTGTGTGTGTGTGTGCGCGCGTGTGCGCATTATTGTGTCATGATGTTTATATTTCTCTGAAACATTTGAGGTGATAAATTTCATTTTAATACCTGTGAAATATTAGATTCTTTAATAAACAAATCACCAAACTTTAATAATATTAAAAACAATGTTTTTTTAATTTATTCAAAGTTTGAGTTACCCTAAGAAAAGTGAGAAAGGGTCCTGAGGGATAGAACAGATGTTAAGGAAATTGCCTTTTATGTGGCTGACCCAGGTTTAATCCTTGGCAATACTTATGGTCTCCTGGGCACCACCAGGAATGATGACTCACCGCACAGCTAGGAGTGGCCCTCAGCATAGCACAGTTGGACATGAAAAAAAGTGAAAATAAATAAAAACAAACAAAAAAGATAAGAAAAACAAGAAATACTAAGGGTGAAATTTGTGTCAGAATTTGGAGTGATAGCATAGCGGTAGGGCATTTGCCTTATGCACAGCCAGCCCGACTGAGCCGGGTTTGATTCCTCCACCCCTCTTGGAGAGCCCGGCAAGCTACTGAGAGTATCTTGCCCCCACGGCAAAGCCTGGCAAGCTACCCGTGATGTATTCAATATGCCAAACACAGTAACAAGAAGTCTCAAAATGGAGACGTTACTGGGCCTGCTCGAGCAAATAGATGAACAATGAGAGGACAGTGATTCATTGAATGTGGAGGAAGAGATAACTCACATGGTAGAGGAGTTGTCTACTATATGAAAGACTGGTCCAATCTCCAGCACTCCTTGAGCAGCTAGCACATTCATGTATGACACACATGGCACCAGAGTACCACTGGCCTACTCACTAATTATCAGTGCTTGCTGAGTTATCCTTGAAATGGCCCCTATTAATATTTTACTACTGAGTAAAACTGACAAAGATGGATACATCGACTTGTACTATATCATGTGAAGCAACACTACTCATACTTCTCAGTGATGTATATTCTGACATTATATTGGTAACTTGAAATTGGTCATATTTGGGTTATTTAGCCCATAGGTATTTCCAAACACTACAAATAGGAATCTGGAGAAATGGATGCTGAACA